GCAAATGTACACAAGTATGTATGGACATTTGTTGGTGGCCGTAAGTATGTAGTAGGAACAGCAGCGCACCGACCGCACCACTGGCAGAAGTGTTACAAGGATATCACTAACCAAAAAGCCAGGATACGCTTGTTGCAATTACTTGTGGCATCGCGTGTTGCTCCAAATGCATAGCAAAAAAAAGCTGTTTGCAACAAAAATTGCCTATGTATACCTGCCTATGTACGTACAGATGTACATATGTATGCTACTTCAAAATAAATAATATAAAAAACCCTTTTTAATATACAACGCTTTTATAAATTTTAACAAAAGTCATTATAAACAATCTATGAAATTGAAAATGAAAAACGTGGAGCGCATGCAATACAAAGCATTCGATTTAATTGACAATAGTCAAACTACATAACGTAGACCTAAAATTTCTACAGCGAAAGTAGAACTTTGAAATCGATTTTAAGCGGTCGTTATTCATATACCCACATACATACATACATATATTACTTTTCATATCAATTCAAGTGTATTACATGCGCCCCACGCTTTTAATTTTCAATTTCATAGATTGTTTATAATGACTTTTGCTAAAATTTCAAAATCAAAAGTTATCAAAACAAATTCTATGGGACTGAGAAATATTATTTTCTACTTTTTAGTCCATTTATAAAAGCGTTGTATATTAAAAAGTTTTTTTTTATATTATTTATTTTCTACTTTTTAGTCCTGTCTGAATAAAATTTTGCAATAGATATTAAAATAATTCAACGATATTAATAGAAAGGTGCACACACATGCATTTACATATGTATGTACATACAAACGAGCACCAATTAATTTTATTTAAAGAAATGGCGTGTCGTCTATTTCCGCTGTAGCAAACGTAGTACATAGGGCGACATCTAGATGTCATCTACCTCGCCCTATTCACTACAGCTGTCGTCCTATGCACTATGCTTTTTTATAGGAACTTTTCAAAGATTTGCTTTGGTGTCGGACACACAACATTGAAAGTCTCTGGATCCACAACATTGAAAGTTTCTGGACACACAACATTGCAAGTTGATAAAAGCGTTGTAAAAAAAAATAGTAGAAAAAAGCTTCGACCACCTTTTACATTTAAATTTCTAATCGACCTCCTCTTCGATATCCACTTGCCGTTTATTTGATTATTTCCATTTGTTGGCCGTAATTGCATTTTGTATGAGAATGTGAAAATGTGTACTGACAGCTGTCACTGGAGATCGTCAATGGGTGTCAAAGTTGTAAAAAATAAACACAAAAACAGCTGGGTATAAAAATTCGAAAATGGCTATTGCAAGCGTGTACTCGTTCCTCGGCAATGAGTGTGAAAAATTTTCCTATTTGCTGGGCTTTGCTATTTTTAGCGAGTTGCTGTTGAAACACATGTACATATGTATGTATACAATATGCACAATTTTCAGATGCTTTTCACGCCTTTCAGGCGGCAGATCATTTTTTTCGCTTTTTTTTTTGTATGTTAAGCTGATGCCAGATAAAACTTTGTAGCTTTGCGTGACATTTATAAATTTGCCAGCAAAGCGCCAGACGCAAAAGGTATGCCACAATGAACGCCAAGAAATCAATTTTGCACTGCTTTTTTACTCGTCAAAATTGCTGTGGATTTAGATATTTTGCTTTAAAATTATCAGCAATGTAATTGAGTTTTATGTTTCAGCATGAATACTCGAATTTGGACGAAACAAAATAAATATTAAACCGGCTGATTGTCAAAGCGCGCAAAAAGATGGGAGTTGGCCATCTTTTCGCTTCGCGCTGCAGCTTCAATGATCTATGTGGCATGCTTTGTGCATTTTCATACAATTCATCTTAGCTGTCAAAGCGAATCTGTCACGTAAAGCGAAGCAAACGTTTTATGTGGCATCAGCTTTATTCTTGTCAAGTGACAAAATGGCCTATAATCCGTTGCGTTGCAATAAACATCCGCAGTCTGCAGCATTGTGGAAGAATACAAGTGAGATATCTTAGGGTTGACAGCTAGTTGACAGGGTGTTCAATATGGCGATGACAGTGTGAAGAATATGGCAGCCAATGTGGCATACAACACCGAATGGCCCGAAGTAGCCAAACTACGACCCGAATGAAACGCTTCGTGAAAATCCAGGGTTGCGGAGTGGTATTTTGTTGGAAAATATAAAAGCCAGGATTTTGTGCAGCGCCGAATTTTAACAAAAGAGGGTTTTGTGTTCTCAAGATGAACAGAAAAGGGTTGCTGTGCTGTTTCGTTTTAAGCCTATTTTAATCTTAAGGTATCTAATTAAATATTAAAAGGAGACAAAAATTAAAGCAAAAATTTAAAATATATGTACATATCTGAAAATTATAAATAAAATATATATTTTCACGAGAGACAAATTAAATAAAATGGGTTAACTTTAGGGGAAATATACTTATCAGATTGGGTCAGATAGCGCTTTTACGTTATAAATAAAAATAATTCCTACTTAAATTTTATATCATTTTGGTAACGTATTTCTAAGCTGACCCTGAGATCTGTGAAATAATACATATTTATGTGCATATATTGTGTTGATTATGCTCTAAATCGCTAAATAATTCTTGCAGCAATCAGCACCATTGGAAAGTGAAGTGACAATAGGCTGGTTTTCTTTATACAGCCCGTTTTAAATTCGTATTATTGTTATAATAAATTACAATTATTGTTTGTTTAGATTTCGGTCAACCGCGCAAATTATTTATTAAAAAAATGTCGTTTAAAAATAGCAATTTTGTTTACTTTTGAATAAGACTTTATCGAGTGCGCTATAAAGACAGGGGGATAAATGCTGTAAAGAAATATATGTTGAGTCCAATCGGTTTTTTGCTAATCCGGTTTTTGTGTAGGTATAAACAAGGTATATTAAAAAAATAAATCTCCATGAAAAAATATCGTTATTTTCGTATTTAAAATTAATCGGAATTTTATGGGGGGTTATAAAAACTCGTTTTAATTGAAACTTTGTTTTTTTCGGCTATATTTGTTATTATTTATTGGCCCAGATGCAAATATTGAATGAACTAACATATTTTAAATATTTACGGAACTACCATTTGTATGCAACCCTGCCTATCCTGTATTCAAGTAGATGTAATTCGAAAAATTTAAACGGATTTCTTTAAATCAACCTGAGCTGCGGACATATTGCGAATTCATTTTAAAACATTAACCACTACATTATATTAGTATTAAATACTTTCAATTAAGAAACAATTCTTACTAGAAAATAAATATGAATCGGTTTATTTTAAATATTCCAATGTATATTTTTTGTTAATGCAGATAGTGCGGATTTAACGTATTTTATAACCGTTACATGGGGAAAAGAAATTTTAGGCAGATTGTTATTGACAATTTTTACATAATTTACGATTGCAATCAATTTCTTTCAAAACTATAATCTAAATGATTGCAAGTTGTATTTTTTACGATCAAAACAGATTCCAAGATTAGGTATATTATGCAAATGCAATCCAATTTGATTTGAGTTATTCAGTTTTAGATACATTTATATTTCTGTGTTCGTATGGAATAGTAGTTTATGTCGGGAAGCTGGCTTTAGTATAATCCGGCATTCCCTTTATTATTTACAACACATGGAATTTTTTGATGACCCTTAACAAGAATATGGACGTGCTAGTATCGGAACTATTTCTTGCACGTTTATTTATTCAAAATTGCTTCAACGGCTCGGCGCCAGTGAGGGTATGCTGCGAATGCTGCATTATACTAAAACCAGCCTTTCGACATAAGCTTTTATTCCATACGAGTGGAGCACGTGCGAAATGCGGATTTTCCCAGTTGCAGTACAGCAGTAACTCGACACCTTCCTCACCAACCGCTCTGTCCTCTATGAGCTTCTTAATGTAACTGCAAATAAAAGATGAAAATTTGAGAAAAAATATTATCACAGCGTTTCACTTGTAGCGTTTCACTCTTGTAGTATATTGGCTATCAAGCACCAGAAAATTTCCATCACGCATGCCATATGCCACAGATTGTCGTGGATCAATTAAAATACTGTCATCACAGCTTTTTGGTACTCCAGCAACTGGTGTGTCTATGGCGGTGTTATGTCGAGCTGTTGCATGACTAAAATCAATTTGGGCTCTTTGAGAACTGGCTTGTTTGTTGCGCGCTATTGGCATCAAATGTATGCAAATTAGATTTCCAAACGGGCAACTGTTGAATACAGGAAAAAATGTATTTTATATGGTTCCGCTAAAGTGCACTACTACCGTGTATAAATTGGCCGACCTTCTAATAAATCATGCAATCTTATTGTATCGTCATCGCCGCCAGTCACCAAGAAATTTCCACTTGGGTGAAATGCAACATCATTCTCCGCGACGAATGCACTGTATTAGCTCGCCTTCAGCTTTGTCAAATATCTTAACGCGGTTACAACTTAATGCTAAAGCCATCAGATTGCCGTCTGGATGCCATGCCAGCTGTCGTCCCATACCTCTTCCCCCGGTGAACGTTCGCATACATTCGCCCGAAAATGTATCGCAAATTCTTAACTTGTCTCCGCACGATGAAATGAACTTACCATTAGGGCTGAATTTTGCTGCGCGCACCCATTTGTGTGTATTTTGAACCAGTATTTTGATGGCTGTTCGCCATTTTTCTAGTCTGCAAACGAATAAGCTGACGAAGAAGCAAACAAATTCAAGCACATTGTTGCATTCTACCGTACATTTTAAAAGCTTTAAAATCTTAAAACATATGTGAAAAACTTTTATAATCTGAATATTTCTAATGTCGCAATCAAAACCAAATTTTATAAATAGCATTTTTAAAAAGCAATCATCTAATATTTTTCAAGTTTTTGGGCATATATGTTACCATTTGAACAACAAATACTACCAAGTTTTAAGAGACTATTTAATGCAACTCAGGCCAAAAAAGCGTACTTTAGACCAAAATAAGCAACTCTAAAAAACAGATGATCGCAGCTGTGGCCCAGGATGGTCTGCAGCCATTAACCCAATTTCACAGTTTCGCCACCGGAAAAAATTATATTTTCATCTCGTTTTTTGGACAAGTAAATAAACAATGTAAGCGGCTAGAAGGTAAAAATGTTATTTTACCAGCCATACGCGAATGCTGTTGATGGCACTCTTCTGTGACATGTGCTGCTGTGGCTGCTGCAACGGATTGGCCCGGAAAAAGTTATTTGCGTAAGATATTCTTGTAAAAAGTATTGTTTGTGCGCCTTAAAAGTGGCATCAAAGTGCAATTTGTTATATAATTTTTTTTTTTTGGCTTCATGACAATTGTGTTAAAAATGATTCTCTCGTAGCAGAAGAGTTAGGGTTTGCCTCACTTTAAAATATTTAGTGGTAAGTAATTACTATAGGAAAATGTTTACAGTGGCCAAGAATTCGCGATGACGTAAATGTTGGGCATGAAGCCGATTACGAACAAGAGAATGAATGCGGTCACGAATTCGAAAATGAGGAATAAGAGGATAGAAATGATGTGCGTTGATAGGCAAAGGTTAGATAAGGTTAGCTTGGCTGATCTGTGAGGTGTCACCTAGACCCGTACACCCGCGATTCTAAGAACAAAAAAAATTTCTCCTTGACATAAAAACATCGATATATTATAATTTAAGGTCCGATTGTAAAAGGCGAAGATATGACGAAAAAGGGCGACCCTTAGGTTAGGTTAGGTTAGAGTGGCTGAAAAAGCCCGTTGTGATACCACTGTCCGAATCCATTTGTTTCTTTCCCTCCCTCTACTCTAGAAAGTTGGCCAGGGCGGAACAATGGCGGAGTTATTGTTCGATGGTCTCCACCTCTTCCTCGTCTCTGCAACTGCGACAAAAATCGTTGGTGGGGTATCCTAACCTTTTTCCGTCTGTGGCCATCAGGCAGTGTCCAGTGATTACCCCAACTACTAATCTGAAAGAGGAGCGCTCCAGCCGGGTAGAAGCTATGAATCGCTTTACATCAATCTTTGGCCAAATTTGCCTGGTAGCAGGTGGTTTCCACAGCCCACCTTATATTTACCTCCTCGACGAGTTCCGCCTTTAGTCTGTGTTTGCAGGAGGTTAGAGATATGCCCGAATTCCGAGCAGAATTGAGATATAGCTCTTCTACATAAGCAGCTTATTTAGGAGTACTACCACGCATCTTGATTAAGATCTATATCAACGGGGATACAACGGGCAACGGCAACACATCTGTTGGTAGTGCCTCAGTTTTTCTTTCTTGCGGCTAGAGTAGGTCCTTTCAAATTCAAATGGCATGCATGCATTTCAAGCTATTTTGTTGTAAGTCCAAAAATTTCTAGTTTGTTTGTATGTATGTATTCTTATTGGTTGGAAAGCGCGTTGCTTTGAAAAAATGTATTTGTATTTTTATCTGTTTACCTATATACTTATGTACATACGTATGATCATATTTATCAGGCATGTTCTGCATTCTACTTTGGAGTGAAAGTTGTTTAAAAATACTTCAATTTCACATTTTGGTGTTCTACAATTTACCCTATACTTTTGAATTCCGTTTTTTCGAACATCAAATTTTAAAAATGAAACAGCAAATCGCTACTTTTCTAGCAAGGCACATAAATACAGGTAGAAGCCAAAATGACGTTGCTCTCATGAGAACCAAACCTTTAAACTTCAACTTGATTTTATTTTATTTCCTATATTTCGTTACGCTTAAAATGTCATGTCGTTTGTTTTTTTTTGAATGTTCGTTAAACACAAATTTTAATTAACATTTGCATTTTTGTAGTGTTGTGCGGTTTATACTTAGTGTATGTGTTAAAAATGCAGGACCTGAAGCGTTGTTTTTTATGTGGTGTTAAATATAATGCAGAAATCTCTAATTTTTTAACGTGCCTCAATGCCCTCGGCGTAAGGAGCGTTGGGAAAGCAGCTGTGGGGTAGAGCTGCAGCGAAATGCCTTGCTGTGCGTTAAGCATTTTAAAGCAGCAGATTTCATAAATGCACCAGGAGGTACAGGAAAGGCACGTTTGATGCCAAGTGCTCTTCCTATGACCCTTATGCCGGAAAGTCCTTCCAACACTGCAACTCATAAATCAAGTTGTGAAAGCTTAATAAATGATCGCGCTTCACAAACTGAGTAAGCATTGTTAAAACGCGATATATTTATAGAAATATTTTTAATTTAAGTCGTTTAGTGGAGACTTAGAACAATCCAGCTACAAACTCGAAATTCTGTTGCTGAAGTCAAGAATTGAAAATCTGAGGGTTAAAACTCAGCACTCAAGACAGAGTTGTAGAAAGCCAAACTTATTGAAAATGCATTCCAGGGAATGTCGCAATCATTATTTGTGTTCCGTTGTTTTATTGATTGCCCAACGTTATGCCTAGTACATATATCGCTTTATACAAACATTTGTATATTATACAAAATTAAAACAGGTACTATAAATATAAACTTTCAATGTATAAAAAAATAGAAAAGAACATACAAATTAACAAATTTTAACTAAATAAAATAAATAAATAAATACAAAACTTGAAATTTACTTAAAAACGTCAACCAGCGAAATGTAATTTTTTTATTTTTCCTTACACACGCTCATTTTTATTTTTACTCTCCCGAAAACTTTGACTTTTGTAGGTTTGATGTCAATTTGGCTTCTACCTGTTTTTATTGTACCATGCTTTTCTAGAACATCAAAAATGAAAAGTTTTATTTTTGATTTTCACTTCATTTTCAATCTACTACTTTTCTAGAAAATGCCTGTATGTATTTCTGTTAAATCACACTCACTCCAATCCCATAAGAAATATAATAAATTACTTGCCATTTAATCGCTGACAGTTTGACAATCATTTTAAAAGGTCTCTGGAACTAAGTTTGCTTTTACTTCCCAGCTCGGCTTGTAGGTGCATATTTTTATACCCGAGCGCACTTGTGCACAAGGGTATTATAACTTTGTTCACATAACGGTTGTTTGTAACAGGCAAAACGAATCGAGATAGATATAGACAAATGTATACATAAATGATCAGGATGAAAAGAGAAATCGATTAAGCGCTGACTGTCTGTCCGTCCGTCCGTCCGTCCGTCTGTGCACACGATAACTCGAGTAAAAATTGAGATATCTTAACGAAACTTGGTGTGTGCACTTCTTTCGGGCGTAGGGCGGATGGTATTGAAAATGGGCAAAATCGGACAATAACTACGCCTACCTCCCATATAATGGTAATTTTCAGAAATACGAAAACTGCGATATTTTAGTAACTATTGAAGATTATTCACTCAAAATTGATATTTACAATAAGTTTTAGACGAAAAATAAGAATATTATAAATTTTTGGAAAATGGGCGTAGCCACGCCCACTTATGGTTACATGTGTATATCTTGGTCACCGCTGCACCAATTTCTTCCAAATTTGGCACAGTTGTTGACCTTGGTATAACATACGAAATGACCGAAAATTTTTAAAATCGGACAATAACCACGCCCACATCCTATATAACGGTAATTTAGAGAAATACGAAATCTTCGATAAATCAGTAAATATTAAAGCTAATTTATTCAAAATTGATGCTTGCAACAATTCTTTACCAAGAAATACGCTTAAGACAAAATTTGGCGTGGCACCGCCCACTTATGATCACATAGACGTATCTCGGTAACCGTTCTACCAATTTATACCAAACTCGGTGTGGTTATTATGCCTGCCACATAGAAGCAAAACGTTGAAAATTATTGAAATCGAACTAAAATTACGGCCGATTTTCATGTAACAGTAAATTTCAGAAATGCTTGAAACTTCAATATTTCTAAATTTAAGGACGCTAATTTACTCAAAATGGATAAACCCCAGTTTACCATGTAGCGGCAGCTTTCGGAAAGGTGAAAAACATATATTTAATACTTGCGCCGGGTATTTAATGTTCGGCTCCGCCCGAACTTAGACTTTCTTACTTGTTATATCTAGATATTGTTCATATATATGTGCATACATTTTATAAACAATTGTTTAGCTATGTCCATAATTTACAACAAAGAAAATGTCTCAATTAAATTGTCAAAAGACTTAAGCTCGAACTAAGTAAAATGTTGTCAACTGTCAAAGAAAATTACAGATAATTAAGAAAATGGAAGACTTGGCTAGTCAATAGCCATCTAGCGACGCTATATCTACTTGTTTCTTGATTTTGTTGCAAAAATGTCCATGTGGAATACCTGGCGGGACATCTCAATCGTATAGGCATCGCCTGGCTCTGATGTCTGTAGTTAAAAAGCATCATACTTTTCACATACCAAGCTAATTAAATTGGTGCACACAGGTTTAACCGATAGACGCATCAACGCTGATAATTGCATAGAAAGCTTCACTAGCAATGTGGAGCTTTATGTATATTCTTCCGTTTTAAAAGATGGGAATGCCTGTCAAAGTACTTGGTAGATGGACTTAGCAATAATATCCTACGTTCGGAAAGTCTGCAAAGTAGAAGTGTTCATTTTTTTGTTTTGCTATTTTACTAAACAGACTTTAGCTGCAAAGTGACTCTTGCAGCTCTCTCTCAGTTTTTGAGTGTTTTCCTTGCACTTAAGATGTATATATTTACATTCCAATGTATATGTGAAGTCTGGTTAGTTTTGTGGATGAAGACATTCTACATTGTACAAATAATCCTGCAATCCTTTTTCTGTAATCTAATATATAAAAATCTCGTGTCACGGTGTTAGTGGTCGAACTCCTCCGAAACGGCTGGACCGATCTTTATGAAATTTTTTGTGTATATTTGGTAGGTATGAGAATCGGATGTAAAGTATATTTCATATCGCTAGGTACAGGGGGCGTGGCACCTCCCATACAAACCGAATATTTCATACTGCATATCTCTGGAAGTGTTCACGGTAGAGTACTCTTACTTGGTATGGAGATATATCAAACCAATGGCATACTCATGGAGAAAAATTGTGGTTATTGGAAAAAGGGGCGTGGCAC